GATGTCAAAACATAAGGACTAAGTAATTAATTTTTGAAGTACGAGAGACTAATTAATTTGTTTTTGAAACAAGGAGGACTAATTTTATAATTTACTCACAACATGTTAGCCCTCAAACTAGGAGAACGCTGAAAACACATACAAACAACAGCATTCTAAGCAATGGAAACGAATAAAGATTTCACTTATAATGAATGTAATAACGTATTATCCCTCAAGATCAATTCAAACATCCTTTTGCCAGCGTAATTACAACAGAAAAACTCACTAATGTCCCCAACCTAAATATTTGTAGTTAGGTTTTTTTTTACCTTAATTACGGAAAAGAGGTTTTCTTTAATTTCTTATTTTTGAATCATTATTCGGTTTTTAACCTGTTTATCTGCGCTAAACAACTCCTTAAAAATACTTTTCATGGGCTATTGTCGGTGAAATTATATCCACAGGTAAATGCTATTTAGTTTAAACCAAAAAATGAAACCAAAATAGTAATTTTATCAATTTTGGTTCGATTTCTAACTTAAAATTTATAAATGAAAGAAACGAACGGATTTTTTTTTTTTTTTTGGGGTTTTCGATTCAGTTTGGTTTTTAAAATTGTTGGTTTGGTTTAAACTAAAAACCAAATTTATTTTATTTATTGATTTTTTTAAGTTTTAAAATCATACAAATAAAAAAATAGTATCTTAATATTATTATAGATATATGATGTATTGTTGTTGTTTTTTCTCTATCTACATTATTTTTAAAAAAATTCAAAAAAATTAAAATTGATTTAAACCTAAAAAAACTAAAAATAAAATAGTAATTTGATTTGGATCCGATTAGCTAAAAAACCAAACGATCACCTGACTAATGACAACTCTTCTTTCTGTGCTCTTGCTTTTTTCTTTTCTTTTTAAGTAATTCTAGATCGTCTAGTTACTATGTCTAATGTTGTTAGGATTTCAAATAATTGTGAATTTAGATCTATATGATCTCAAGTTCATGGTTTAGTTTGGTTTCTTGTTCTTAGAAATTGAGGTTTTTTTTCTTTTATTTATATATGCAGATTTGTTATAAGATCCATGGTGGATTGGAGAATAGATTTACAAAATGGTAAAGTTGTTGGAGAGAGGATTCAATATCTAGTTGCAGTACTGATTCGTTTATCAATCGGACCTGGTAGTGTGGTCCGTTTCTCTATTAATTGATGGTGGCAAGAGATTCCTAAAATTGAGACACATTAAAAAAGCTTCAAGAATCCATTAGAAAGTCCTTAAAATAAAGAGGACGAGATATTTGTTCGAAATTTTAATAGTTACTATTTTCATCCAATCTATTTTTCATTCGATTACATTCAATTTTCTTATTTGTTATTTTTATTTGAGTCTTTTAAGATTGAAAATTGTAATAGCAATGTGCTATTATTAGAATCAATGAAATTACTTTTTCTTATAAAAAAATAAAAATATGAAATAAATGATAAAAACAACATCAGCATTAGTTTTCCAAATGTTTTATTTCAATCAATAACATCAGGATTAGTTTTTCAAATAACTTATTCTAACTCATCTTTTATATTAATTACGGACCCAGGCCATTAGGCAGTTCAATTGTCCAAATCCAATAGTTTATTTATAACATTATGTATCCTATGCCGCGAAAATAAATCTCTTCTTTGTTTAGGTTCGTATATACTAATTAGATATTCGCACTACGTTGTGATTAGACAACCATTATATACGTAGGGTTAATAATCTATATGGTATGATACGAGTAGAAGTTACGTTTACGGAGATTAATATAAATCGAATATATATATTAAGCGAACTTATTTGATTTATATATATTTATTAACAAAATAATTTATAATATATGTATAAAAATTTGTATTTAAATAATTAAGAGGTTCTTTTAAAACATTAATTAAATTATTATATTTAAAAATACAGAATTTAGAACATAAAAAAATAAATAACAAATAATTGGTATTATGTGTATAAATATAATTAATTTGTAAGAAAACTACTATATATGTATCGTTCCTAGTAAGTGAAACAGAGATGTACTACAATTAATTTCAACCAATATTTTCTTATAATAATATTGTAAAAAAAAATTATTTATTTTAATTTACTCAATTGGATGAAGTTTTTCTCTAACAAAAATTTCACTTCATAAAGTTTATATTATGCATATAATATAAAACAATGTTTATAACTGAAATTTTAAATTTTGGAGCATCTATTGCCTAAATTTAAAGTGAGAAGTTTATTTTCCTAAATTCACTAAAATCTCAACCTTAAAATTGATGCTATACATATTAAAGACATGACAATTGTGACTTCAAAATTAGCCTATCTAGCATTTCATTTCTAAATTTAAGATGGAGAGCTAATTTTTAAAATACAAAAGTCTTATGGCTTGATAAATTTTTAAATAAAATAATTTACTTCTAGCATTTAGGTAAAAAAAAAAAAAAAAAGATAAGTATTAAATTTATTGACTCGGAATGAATTTTGAAATTTCATTGAAATGAATTTTTCCACCGAATATTTCTAACAATGTTAAAATTTAAATTGCTCAAAATTTTATACATAAATGAAAAGTTACCTTTTTTATAATATCCAAAGGTTAATGTCTCAATAAATCAACAAAAATTTTCTTAGATTTTAAAAAATATACAAAAAAACCCTATTGAAATCGCATGAAATATATCGAATTTAATAAATTTAAATAAAAACTATCATAAAATTAGTTTCGATAAATTTTGATTATATATATATATATAACTTGTGAATTTTTTTAACTAATTTTTAATTTAAAAAAAAACTGAGTCAAATTATTTTTTTAATTGATTATTATTTTTTTAAAAATTAAGTCAAATTATTTAAAACACACTATTAGCTCTCTCTCTCTCTCTCACACACACACACACACACATCAGAATTTATATATGCAACTCCATTGCTCTCATTTAAAAATCATAAAAATAATCAATTGTATAAATTATAATAATATATTTTAAAAATAAAACAATCACGTTCTTAAATTTTATTTCAAAATCAATATATAAAAAAATAAAAAATTAATTTGATGATAATTTTAATAAGAAACAAACAATTGAAGAAATAAATTTTAAAAAATAAAAATAATATAATCAGATATATATATGTTCAAACTAAAATCTTAAAAAATATCATATATATTCTATTACCGTCAAATTATACATAAAACTAAAAAATATATATTTTTATATATATATATTTTCACACCTAATTTCATGATAAAAAAATATAGAAATAAATTATTACAATGAAAAAAAAAGGGCAAATGGGACTACCTATGTAGGCCTGTGAGCCAGGCAGGGGCCTGGCGGAGCCTGCTTCTCCAGGGTTGGGCTGCTGGCCAGACCTTTTACAATTTAATTCAAATGAACTTTTCCACGGAATATTTCTAACAATGTTAAAATTTATATTGCTCAACATTTTATACATAAATGAAAAGTTACCTTTTTCTAATATCCAAAGGTTAATGTCTTAATAAATCAACAAAAATTTTCTTAGATTTTAAAAAATATACAAAAAAAATCATTGAAATCACATGGAATATATCGAACTCGAATAGATTGAAATAAAAACTATTATAAAATTGGTTTCAATAATTTTTTTTTATATATATATATAACCAAATAAAACCTATAATTTTTTTTAACTAATTATTAATTTTTTTTAAAAAAAATTAAGTCAAATTAACTAAACACACACTATTAGCTTTCTCTCTCATTAGAATTTATATATGTAACTACGCTATTCTCATTTAAAAATCACAAAAATAATCAATCGTATAAATTATAATAATATATTTTAAAAAAATAAAACAATCACGTTCTTAAATTTTATTTCAAAATCAATATATAAAAAAATCAAATTTGTTGAAAAATAACATTATATAAAAATAAAAAAAATTAATTTTATGAGAATTTTAATAAAAAACAAACAATTGAAAAAATAAATTTTAAATAATAAAAATAATATAATAAGATATATATGTTGAAGTTAAAATCTTAAAAAATATCATATATATTCTATTACTATCAAATTGTATGTAAAAAAAATAATAACAATTTTTTTAATATATTTTTACCCCTAATTTCATAATAAAAAAATATAAAAATAAATTATTGAAAGAAAAAAAAAAAAAAGAGGGCAAACGGGACTGACAAGTCTGTGAGCCAGGCAAGGCTAAGTTGAGCCTGCTTCAGCCCAGACCTTTTTTTTTTTTTTTTTTTTTAAAAAAGAAATGTTATAATAAATTAACAGCGAAAACCCCATATCTTTAGTTGTTTTTTAATAATATATCCACTTTGAATTTTTCATGTGGGAAAACTTCCTTAATTATTCAGAAGGTTTGTTATAGATGCATACCTTGCAGAAGAATGGTTAGCATTTTGTTCTCAATATATACAATGTCGAGCATCATATTTTTTCCTAGTGTTGGTGAATATGGGAGCATCCAACGGTTTATGGTGGATGAGAAGATTTGGACACAAGCATATCGATTTGTGCTTTTCAATTGTGATGTATTTGAGTATTTTAGGAAGTGATCATAATTAATTATGGAGTTGGAGGTCATTTCAATTTGTCTTTTTCCATTTATTACTCTATCTTCATTATAATCAAATGAAATGAAGGTGGTTGCATCAAGATTGGGGAAGGATGAAGTCCTTCCACAGGCCTTGCTCCTTAAAAAGCCATCCCACCACTGAACATGGGAGGTACATCCTTCTGCAAATTGATCATAAATATTATGTCATGCATGCTAAACACAGCACAGCCAGAAACAAAGTTGTGTACTAACTTTTCTTTCTCTCTTCGTACACTTACGGTTAAGTCAGGTCAAGTAGGAACAGTTTGAAATGCATACAGCAACAAGAGCTTGCTAAAATAATTAATGACATAGTATGCTGCATCCTAGCAGCGGCAAATGGAAAAGTAGCTCATTAATTACTTGTGATCCTAGAGGACCTTGAGCTGTACAAGGAAAGCTGCACAAAGATCCAAGAAGAGTAACTGAGGGCCCTCTACCCTTTGTAGATCAAGTAGGTATTTCTCCTCATTAGTTTTGTAAAGCTGTCAAAACAATGGTATAATGTATCAGCATGACATTCAGTTACATTAGGCTTGCAAATTCAGTGTAATGCTCTGACGTACACTAGGTTAGTCTCATGAAAAAATAATCTTTCACCAGCTTTACGACATGTGACAAGCTTTTTCGATATGAAACTCTCCAGGTTCAAATACAACAAAAAAGACGAAAGCAAGAAACAGTCAGATGAGTGCATTACCTGCATTTCAAACTTCACCACATTTGATGAGTTAATGATTACATCTTTCTCAACAATGGAGGGTTGCCCAAGGAAAACAGTATTACGAACAGGGTGGTTCACCACCGGGAATTTGTGAGTCTCAAGGGTGCCAGGAATCCACCTGCACTTCATATTGTAATCACCAATTTTCTTCCAACACACAGTCAGTTCTTGCAGAGCTTTGAGAACTACTATCATTATTTGATGAGGGTGAGCTTGAGACTGACAAAGTGAAGGCAATAAATATGATCAGTGGTAACTTTAAATGAGCAGAGTAGATCAAATATAGCCATTGCTTCATGATATAATTGATTTTTCAAAAAGCCAGATGCAATCTAAGATGAAAAACTAGACCTCTACTGCACTTTGAGCAACCAAACCATTCCATATCCATATGAAACATGCATATTTTTTTCCCCTTGAGATGAAATGGAGAGCAGTACGGCTGAAACCTAGGATCTCTACTCAAAGTTACACTACAAACCAAACAACCCAAGCCAGCCCCAGGCACTTCATGTCACACGCTCGGCAAATTGCCACTTGGAAGTGCACCTTAAAAGCACAAAAACTGACCTGAAGTCCAAGAGCCCATTTCCTAGTAGCTGGAACCTGTGATTGTAAGCCCATTCCTTGATAATCCGTATATCCAGGAAGGAGTTCGTGCCTGGTGGATGAAGAAGGTTCGTCTGGATGCATAGAACTGAGATTAATTTCCTAGGAAACAAGAAAAAAGGTTGAGATTTGAGAGCAATGCAAATCAATTGGGAATTATACTAACAGAATATAACATTAATCATCAATAAACTAAAACGCTAAGAAAAGTAGAAAAAATAGATCCCACCTAGTGCAGGGCAGAGAGAGATTATAGATTAGATTATATTCCTCAGTTTTAATCTAGACATGCCCAGGGTCAGATCCTCATAACATGCCACAATTTAGAACTTCGGAGCAAAGGCCTTTCAGAAACTACTATCCACATGAATTAACATTTTACCAACATGACATCAAACGTTGACAAGATTTTTTTCCATAAAGTAGACATGGGAAAAATAAACACACCGGAGCTCTTTGGATCTCAGCTCCTAGATGGCCATTAGAATCACAGAATCGATGGTCCAATAACAAATGGTATGCAACGGTAGCCTGAAAACATTTGTAAGTAATACTAATAAGCAAACTTCAAAGATTGTATGAAGAGAATTTTTTAAACCCTCAACAAAATGTTTTAAATTTTCCAAACCTCATTTTGCATTCTGCTTTTAATGGATTCAGTTAGTTTTTTCCCATCAAATCCCATCTTGACAACTTCCTGAAAAATCTCTCCATCAATCTGCAGGAATGATAGTTAATAGTTGAATAAACTGGATCAATGATTTGGACGGGAGGGTATTGAATTGTCCCTCCTTGAAGAAAAGACTAACAAACAAGCTTATAGGGTTCCTTTCCCTCCCTTCTCTTCAAAACCCCTCTCCAAACATAGAGTAAGGTATTATTCAAAGTGATACTAGTCCTAAAAGCTTCACCGAGACAACACAAGGATCCATTTGCATCCAGAAAATTAGTATAGCCTCTCCACAGAACAGCAAGGAACTACATTTTATACTGTACTTGTATAACTAATGTAGCACCTTATCAAAACAAACAAGTATCAACAAATAAAACCCATGCTATTTCCCATTTTCACATACTAGAATCCTCGAGTCCACTAAGCCTAAACCCTAACTTCCATTAATGGCATATACTTCTTGTAACTAGATCATTCTTTATCACTCCATACAAGTCATTGTCGGTCTACCTCCACCCAACTTACTAAATACATTTTTATCTAATTAATTAATTAATTATTATTTTAATATTTACATGTAGTGAGGTATTAAGAGACTAGTTTTCACATCATTTGAAACTAAGTCTACCACTTCTCGAACTAAGCCAACGTCAGAAGACGCCTATCCTTTGGTCGACTACAAGACTACCTCTTAGGTCAAACCAGTCCAAGTCTGGAACTACTGAGATATAATTATGACTAATATGGAAATTGAATCTTGATCTCAAACAAACCAAAACAACCCTCTCATCGCTAGACAACGTCCCTTAATACATTTGATTTGACCACTCTTCGCTGCCCTTGAATCATGCTAAATAAAAGCTAAGTGCAGTAACTTGGACGAAACAAGGCCATACTGTCACATTATTAATTCATAACTGAAATCTTAGGTAGCAAAACCTTTTTAGCTTGTTGCATAGTATCTGGCAGGGGCACAACCAAATAGCGTGGAAGGCAATCTTGGAACCAAGGGTGCTGACGAATTTCAGGCATGGTCATTCTTCTCATTGGATCGACCACAAGCATCTTTGAGATCATATCTCTTGCACCAGATGACAAATAGCGGGGAATAGAGTATATGCCACCCTAAAGAGAACACAGTGTATGCTGATGACACTCTAGAATTATTCTTTATACAACAATGAAATAAAAACAATTGAAGTTAGAATATTATAAAGAACCTAAAACGTTATGAGTTGGGTTTTTACTTTAGCCAAAACAGTGTCGTTTTGATCTATTTTTAGCTCAGAACTGCATTTATTTTTTGGAAAAAAAAAGATTTTAATCTCCTCGATCAAGAAGGAAGACTAAAAATAATAAGGAATAGTGAATTTAAGGATTAAAAAACAGCAATAATCCTGAAAAATTATCATATGCTATTGGTTTTTAAGCTTCCAAGACAATGGTTTGTAGTAGAGAAGATTGCTGGGAAACAAAAAGGTACTGCTTAATACTGCAAATGCCGCGACATCTGGAATGGTAGAATAAAGCAGAATTAAATATAAAAAGTCAAATGAGACTCAAAAAGGATGGTTATCTCAAGGCAACAAAAAAAGAGGAACCCTAAATGAATCAAGTCTAGTGAAGATGTGAACGGAAATTGAACACAAAAAGTTTCCGACAACAGTAGAACCCTCAACAGCCAGAAGAAAGCAAGGTTTTTTTTTTTTTAATGATGCATGCATAACTCATTCTTATAGCTAAACTAGCAAATAGAATGGTCAGTCCAAAAATAGACCACTGAGTTGAATCATTTTCTGAAGACCTTAAGCTGATTACACAGTCTATAGACTAAAAAAAAATGCAGAGTACCTTTATTTTCCTGAGGAGATTGGGAATGCTTTCATCATCAAATGGTAGTGAACCACAAAGAAGAGCATACAATATAACACCGCAGCTCCATATATCTACTTCAGGTCCAGCATACAATTTCCTAGCAAGGACCTATTAAAAGAACAGAGAACATTAGATCATTACACAAGGAAAATATAGGTTAGATCAAAGAGAGTAGGGAAGCCTCCTTCCTACTAAGAATCTAGCAATGCATCTTATATTGATCCTTACCTCCGGGGCAGCATAGTTATAACTTCCACAATTTGTCTTTAGAAAATGACCATCTCGCATTATATTGCTCAACCCAAAATCAGCAATCTTCACATTTTGTTTAGAATCTAACAGTAAATTCTCAGGCTTAAGGTCTCTGTGGACAACCTTATTCCTGTGGCAATATTCCAGACCTGAAATTGTCTGCAAGCAAGCAGAGAGAAGTTTGGCTCACTGGATTGAATTGAGAAAATGTGGAAGAAATTTAATGCATATTATTAGTCAATCAACTCAATCCTGCCTGCTGGAAAAAAAGGCGTGCCTCATCTTCCTGTAACCTTTCCTTCTCCAAAATATATTCAAAGAGTTCCCCACACTTGGCATACTCCATCACAACAAATATATCAGTTGATGTTTCAATAACCTCATAAAGTCGTATAATATGAGGATGCATTAGCATTTTCAAGATTTTGATTTCTCTCCTTGCTGCAAAAGAAGAAAAAAGAAAAACGAAAACATAAGACAACCGAGATAATCTGAACAAACTATGAACTGAAATGCAAATCTAGTACAAAATCTTCCTCCAGTCCTCCCAGAGGAAATACAAATCTCTAATGTCTCAGTATAAAGCTTTTGTAATTCAAGATCAGATGACGGTCATTTAGTCCATTGAATTTATGATAATTAATGTGGTAAAGAATGGCTATGATTCAAGTAGAATTACAATCATCTGTATCCAATCATAGATTCATTTTGATAGTAAAAGGCTGTGCATAGTCTATACCTTTTTCTTCCATCCCCTTTTTTTCATCTCATGGCGATTAAGTATTTTGATGGCAACATGAAGACCTGTCAGTTTATGCTCTGCAAGCTTCACCTCACCAAAGGCGCCATATCCAAGAGTTTTACCAATCTTGTAATTTGGTGAAAGCATCTCCCCACGGCTGCGTTTTCGACGAGATGATCCTTCCATTTCCTGTTCCAAATCATGAAGAAAGCAAAAATTAGAAAAATATGGCAGCAATTATACCAAAAAGAAAGTTGCCGTGGACATAGAAGTGGAATATATAATGTCAAAAAAGGATACTGTCTATCGTTTCAAGGACTTTCATTTAGTTTAAAACAAACTAAGCAAGTATCAACTATAGAAGATTTTTTAAGCATGCATGCCTTGCATCCACTTCATCATGTAAAGATTGTTTCACCTTTGAACAATGAAGTAATTGTCAATTATAAACATCAAGCCAACAAACCAATGCTCTGTCTCAATTAAATCTTGAAAACCAGGTGAAAAATTTTGGTAGCAGTTTGGCCTACTTTATGACAAATCTTTCTTTCAAACAAATTCTCTTCCATACAATGAATTAAAGTTTCAACTGTAGGTTCCAGCTAAATAAGTTGAAAAGGTTACTCATAGTTCTTACGAGACATAGACGTTAGAACAAAATCCTATTCAAACTTCAATGGAAGAGATTAAATGTGGGAGAAAGTTATCCTTATTGTGTACTATCAACTAAAGTTTTCGAAACCTTCTAATCAATTCCTCCTCCTGCTTCTTTATAGCCTGATGGGGCCAGGAGAAGGTGCAACAGATAATGAAGGGTACACTCATACTTTGTGTGTATGTAGAATGTTTAGGCAAATAAGCAATGGAAGATTATTATGAACAGAAAGCAAAAATGTTTTCAAAAACTGAAATCAAGTTTTAGTAGAACAGTAAAAGTTGAGTGTCATGGCTTTTGAATATCAAATGACTATACCACTCCTACATGACAATTGGATATATATGTATATATATGTCATGGCTTTTGAATATCAAATGACTATACCACTCCTACATGACAATTGGATATATATATATATCAATTCTGTTATGTTCCCCTGGCATGGATAAAATCAACTTTTAAAACCACAAAATTTAGCCCTGTTTTAAACTAGCCTTAGGTTTAAGCATTTGATCAATTATTTCAGAACAGAAACAAAGAAGAAAAGAAGAACCCAGCATCTATAAAAGTCAAAAGAACACAAAAATAAACTGAAATGCTAAAATCAAACATTTAGAACCAATCTATCCATAAAAGATTACCTAATCACTGTTACAATGAATTAGAAAATATGGCATCAAACAAACAAAATGGGGCTCAAAAGAGAAGTTAGATAGAGAAATCAGACATGAAAAATTACAAAGAGAATCTTTTGATTATGATTAATAGGCGCACCTTAACTTATTTTGTTAAAACCCAACAGCTCAAGGATTGATGACTGTAAAACTAGTGGATTCTCTCACCTGAAAACAAAAGGAGTAAGGAAGGGAGATTAGTGAAAAACTAGAGACTGATGTTGACAGGAGAAAAAGGTGCATAAAGATACTGCCATAAAAGGGAATAAAACGTTAATGTGTACATACATGCAAACTCTTTATTAAAAGTACAACTTTGAAATGACTTGCTGACATTTTATTTATTTTTATTTTTGATGAATAAATGAAAGTGTTGACATCTTGTAGAGTGCTTACAAAGACACTTGAACAGTAGCACAAAGGACAAAAAATAGAACCTGCAAGACCAAGGCAGAAAGAAGATTCTCAAGAAATTGCAGACGTTAATCACGTGGGCAACTCTGAGTCCAAGAAGTCCTGGAACTCGAATGGAGTTGTTTTTTTGTTGGTTTCTAAGACTTGGCGTGTCCATTGATGCCAAGCTCTATAATGCCCTGCCCTGAAATAGGTTAGCAACGGTGGTGGTAGTGATTTGGTAGAGTGGGTGCTCTATAAATGCGATTCTGACACGAATAAAAGCAATCCGACTTTGTCATGTACAAAAAGAAAATGCCCAATAAGGCAATAACAGATCAAACACGAATAAAACAAAAGGAAAACAATTATAAACAATCAGGATAAGAATCCTTTTTTCCACCAAAGTTCCTCAACAAATAACTAGTAATTGGCTTTAAAGTACAGCAGCCAATACCATGTAAGAGAGCATTTACTTTCACTGAATGGGGGTATAGTATGGCTGAAAATATTCTAGTGAGGAACCAAAATTTACCATGGATTACTCGATTCTTTTTTCATGTCTTCACTTCCTTATCTGACAGTGACGCATATAGAAGGTATGCAAAGGGGGTTGCTGTCAAAGCAGAGTTCTGGGAAGAAAGAAATTGAGTGGACAGCACTGCAATAATTTCTGAAAGCCTGCTGGAGCAGGCTTCTCTTCCTGTCACTTCACACGTGGTAATTTATATACTCTTAGTTATTATATGAGAAACTCTAGTTTGTTTGTCAAAATATTGGGTGGAGAAATGTTCTCAAACGTTCAGCAACGACAAAGAAGCTCTGCAGATTCTTGACAGCTGAGAGTCGAAAACACTAACCCATCATCTGCCAAAGTAACTTCCCTAAAAACACCTGCAACGTCGGCAGGCACACCCAAATTGCAATGGCACAAACTAACCAGCACATTAAGGAGCCAGAGTACCAAGGATAAAAACTTAGAAAACTTGCAGAGGATAAATGGAATTTTCTCATTCCATAATTTGATGAAGTTAGGGAATGGATTACACAACTGATCTGTTCGGTCTACTGATAAAACATAAGGGTTTTTTTTTTCCCTTTGAAACTGTAAGTAAAATTACAAAAGAAAAAATAGAATTTACGAAATTTAAGTAGACGTCACAGAACTCCAAGTGCAAGGTATAATTACAGATTGGATGTTGCATGAAAAACTAAAAAAAGTCTTTTTTGTGACGTATTATGATTTTCAAGTCATAGTAACAAGCATCTAGCTGTACATACAGTTAGCTAGAATGAGCTGTAATCTTTCTTATTTTTTGTATAGTTTTCTTTTACATAGCTCTATGTGTAATCTATTTATCATCAAAACTCTAGCTGTAACTATGCCTTTCTTCTTCTTCAGAAAACATAGCGGCCACTACTCCTTTCTTTCCTAAAACACTAGCCGCACAACGAGTATGTTTATCAAACAATAGGTTACTATAAGGGCAGAAATCCACTATGAAGTTTCAGCTCTAACTATCTAAAAGAGCACTTCTATAGCTTTCAATCTCGATTTTGCACCCACTTCCATAAGAGTACACATACGAGTTGATGTTTGTTGGAAGAAGCATGGCTATCCGAAATGGTATAGACTTAAGTAAACTAAGAGGAAAAACAAAAGTTCTACTTAAAATGCTACTACCATAGATACTCGCCTCATTTTTTGCTTCTTCGTATCTCGGACATCTTCCCTAAAAGGTATTTTTGATTTATCCATTATTTCTAGTTGTCCTAATACTTGGATTATTGACTTAGGAGCCCCTAATCACATGACTAGTAACTATTTTGTCCTTGATTCTCTAACATTTTCGCCGGTTAAGTCTATACAAGTTGCTAATGGGAACTCTATTCCTATCACGGAGGTTGAAAATGTCTCTTTCTCCGACATTTTCTATGTCCTTTGTTCTACTTACACCTATGCTTTCAAACAACCTTCTTTCCATTAGCAAGATAACAAAGAATCTCAATTGTTCGACATTTTTCACTTTATTCATTGTGTTTCGGGACAATCTTACGAAGATGACGATTAGCATTGATAAGGAGAGAGATGGTTTGTATTATTTGGAACAATCGAGGTATAATAATACCTGCTTGTGGCATCCAAACAAAGAGAGAAAAATCTAATAGAGAGAGAATTATGCTTTGGCATTATCGATTGGGACATCTATCTTTCTCTTATTTAGAACGATTGTTTCCTCAATTATTTTCCAAAATTTATGCTTCTAGTTTAAAATGTGAACAACGCATTTATGCTAAAAACCATCGTGTTCCTTTTAAAGTCGGTTTTAATAAAAACATTAGTCCTTTTTCATTTGTTCATATTAATATGTGGGGTCCTTTCACTCCTGCTTCAGGACATAAATATTTTATCTCTTTTATTAATGATTGTACTAAGGTCGATTGGGTATACTTGATAAAATTTAAGAGTGATGTTTTTCATATTATTCCTCGGTTTACGAGCATGATTCTCACCCAATTTAACATTAAAATTAAAATTTTTCATTCGGAAAATGGTCGTGAGTTTGTGAATCAATCTCTTGCTAAGTTCATGACACAACGTGACATCCTTTCCTAGACAACTTATGTTTGCATAACCCAACAAAGTGGCATAGCGAGAATGAAAGAATTGCCATCTCTTTGAAGTGGCTCGAGCCTCATGTTTTACTATGCATGTTCCAAAACGTTTTTGGGTTGAAGTCGCCATGACTATCGTTTTTCTTATCAATCGAATGCTTGCTAGGATTCTTAATTTTCAAACTCTTTTAAGGATGCTATCTAGATTTTATCCTATTTCATCCGGTCTTAATATTTATCCTAAGGTTTTTGGCTATGTATGCTATGTTCATGCTCATTCTCTTCATAGAGATAAACTTGATCCCCATGCTATCAAATATGTTTTTCTTGGATATTCTAATTCGCAAAAGGGATACAAATGTTTTTATCCTCCTACAAGAACCTATTATATGTTGATGGATGCTCAATTTTGTGAAAATGAGTCTTATTTTTTTGATGATATATCGATTATTCCTCTCGAAAGGGAGATTGGTAGTAAATAAGAGAAACAATTATGGTTAGGGGAAAAATAGATATGGACCTCAAGTACGAGATAACATTAAGGCAAATAGGGAATCATTAGTTTTAGATGATCCGTCTATTGAGAAAAATAAAATTGAACCGGATGATAAGAGACTCGAAAGACTAACTCATTTTTTTTATAATGGATATTCTAGAAGAAAGGAAGATATCACTATTGTGCCTCCTAATTCTAGTACCTCCTTGGTGATACTACCATGTCATTGAATGAATCTTCTAAGACTAACACTTAGGTATGTACCCATTTTTCCGAATCTTTTGAAAATTTCAATCTCAATTCTAATATTGATCATAATAGAAGATATCCTCTTCGTGAAAGAAAAATA